TGGGATGGTGTGCACGAACGTGGTTCGTGGCCAGCTAGACCACGGAGGCCTTCGTTCCGGGTATACCGGACGGCCTAATGAGAGTGTTTCCAAACTCCATCCACGTGTGACTCTCTTGGACGACACAACTGAATCATCCACTTCTTCATGTTAATCATGACAAGCTTGTTCTTTGATATTGCATTTTGCGTTGTGAAATAGTTTCGTTTTGTAGTCTTCGATAAAGAAAAAAAATCGGTCGGTGTCCTTCCCGGTCCTCGAGCAGACTGTCCGAACCATCTCTTTTAAATCGGTCTTAAAAATTAAACTTGACAAAAAAAGACCGAAAAAGTTTCAGACCGACTAAAAAAAAAACCGATCTTAAAAAAGATAGGACCGGCCTTGGACCCATTTTGCCCTCCTTTAGACGAAATCGTGGTGGCAATACCGGCGGCCCTCCTGTCTCTTTTAGTAGATAACTCTTTAAAAATATGTGTTTACAGTAAACGAACGCAATGCAAGCAACAAAGACCGGAAACAAACTGTCAGAAAGAATGAAAAAGTAAACGAACCAATGAATCTTTGTCTGTTGGTTTCTCCAAACTTCTAAAAATTCTTTTCTTCGTCACCTACACAAACAAATCCCAAGTTCTCCAAAGATCTCCAGCAAAATACGAAAACCCAAACCCCAATTCTATCCATACATAATCGCTAAACCCAGAACCAAATCTTGCAAAAATGCAGTGCCCAAGCACTAATTCCTTCCGTTTCAACTCTTCTTTATGCGCTTGCAATCCAGGGTTCTTGTACAACGCCACCGCCAACGTATGCACCCCTTTCACCGTCTCCGGCGCCGACGAATTCTTAGTGGGTACCGGAGTTGATTATTCGATCAATTTCCCAGAGACCATCTTGTCATTTGATTCAATCAAGAAGTACACGCAGTCGCAGGGCGTGTTTCTTGGTGCTACCCTTGTGATGATCGTGACTTGGCTCTTGTTCTGTTTTTTTGTGAGGTTTGGAGATCTTGGTGATGGAAGAACACCGTGGTATAAGATCAGATGGGCGATTAGCAGATTGGATATCTGTTTTGCTACTCGCCACTGGCTGGTAATCTTTCTAGCTCGTTTTTGTTCTTGAAATTTTGATTTGAGCTGCTGTTGAGCTTTTCAAATTCAAAATCGATGTGCTTTTAGGTTATGCCCCTTTCTTATAAGGTCTAAAATCTAGGGTTCATATTTAGTTTGAAACTTGCCTGCTTAATTAGCTAATTTGAATGAATTATTGAATTAAGTTTATGTTCTTGAGAGACATTCGAGCTTTGAAATTTTGAAATTTAACCATCTTTATTTATACTCCATTGTTTATGTAGGATGATCAGAAGGTTCTCAAGAAACGGAAAACAGAACTTGGGGGAGCTTTCTCAATTGCAAGTTGCATTCTTTTTATTGGTTTGTTTGCTGCGTGAGTGATTGAATTTATTTTATCTACATTCTGCAGTTTCATCAATTCTTGATCCTATGAAAATATATAGTTTGAAGCTAATTATAGGTATATTTTTCAGTTATTTAAAATACTACTTAATAAAGACAAAAATATAAGAATCTTGTGAATCCAAATCATTTAATTCAAATTTATTTGAAACAATGACAATTGACAATTTGGCGACTTTAATTGAAAACTTTTCAAAAAATGTGAAAACCAAATTAATGCAAAATTTCATGGGATGAATGGAATACTTTGTTTTTATCGTTCATGTCTTCCTCCTATGACAATTTCAATCCACATATGAAAAAAAATGGCCCATTTTGGATTATAACTACTAACAACTTAATTTGGCTACAATTACAGGTTACTTTACCAAATTATATCAAAAAGAACAATAGAAGTGCATAGTGTTGTAGCAGCAAATGCACCCGATTTAACTTCATTCCACAACGATATGGAATTCAACATCACAACAATTTCCACCATGAGTTGTTCAAATATTCGAGGTCTTGGCACTTTATACACCGGAAATCCCGGTTTTTTGGATTTTAGAACAAACCCATTATCCACTTTTGCAAATTTTTCATGTCAAAACACTACAAAGGGCCCAAAAGTCACCCTCAAATGCAACAATTGTCAACTTCTTCGTGACAATTTTTACACTTCGTGGCATTTTCTTGATCTTCCAAATACACCCGCAAGTGCTGTTGGATTTGAGTTCAATTTAACTGCAAGGGATCATGAACGTGAACATCATATGAGTTTTGTGAGTGGGATTTTGAAGAATGGAAGCGGAAATAATGGGAAATTTGTTACGTTTAGAGGGAGGGATCCAAATATTTTGCAATTTAATTTATTTCCACGGATTTACCGGAATAAACGTGATCTTAAACTTATACAACCGCTTCTTCATGAGTTTCTTCCTGGATCTTCGTTTGATGAGATTAATCAGTTGAGGGGTTCTTTACAAAGCTCTAATGATGGATTTGTTAACATCACTTTTCATTTGAATTTCCTTTCATCTTATATTGTTGAAGTTGACAATCAGAATGTTTCGGGTCCAGGTGAGTATCTTATCAAGATTCAAGACTATGTTATTTCTTTTTTGACTTAATGTGCTTAATCGGTTAAGCACTTATTCAGTTATTCTTGAAAACTTTATATGGTTGTTTCTTTTTGACTTAATTAGGACACCAACTTGTTACCTATTTGTCCTTTTTCCTCCCAACTCCTCTCACGTTAAACTTGATGAATATTGTGAAAACTTGTTTGCTGGGATACAAGGGTACAATGGTCATTTGATTCTTTTTCTTTTTTCCGAGGATGCAGTGGGCTTCCTTGCTGATTTGGGTGGCTTGTATTGTATTAGTATCGGCCTTTTTTTCTACCTTTTGGTGCAAGTATGTTTTTCTTATTTTCTCAAGATTACATTACATAAATTTTTATCTATTTTAAGTTTTTAACCATGCTTTAGTTTTTCTAAGTTAATTCCTGTGTAGTTTGAATACAGATTCAAGAAGTTTCGCCATGAAGATAGCATAATGAGAAGGATTAGAAGTCAAAGGAAAGCACAAGAACGTTGGGACAAGGTAAAGTTCTATTTTTCTATAAAGAATTCAACTCATGTCTACTTTAAGTTCATCGATTTTTTTATGCCAAATGTGTTTTTGGTTGCTTAATGTTTGAAAAAATAGTTGAGGAAATATGTAATATTTACATGGGGTCGTGGTTCATTGCCTCCTGAAAATGAAGGATCATCAAAGAAACGAAAGCATCATATAAGAAAAGATACAATCAGTTTTAACACCAAAGTTAGCATACCCGATGAGAAGGTAATGATTTTTTTTTTTATATATTTTCTTGTGGTTAATTGTTTATTTTTGAAAGTTTTTTGTTTTCTTGAATTTATTTGTTTTTTTTTTCACAGAAGTTTAGTCAAGAGAAAGGTGAAGCCCGAGGAGTGGCATGCTGTTTTGGTAACTCTGGATCAATCCCTGTGGAAAGAATCTCATCCCAAGTAAGTTGCATTATTTTTTATTTTTTTGTTATTTTTCAAGTGTTCTCTGCTAGGGGTAGTTAGGTAAATTTACATTTACACTTTAAAAGTTAGTTTTCCGAATGCAATGCAATCAACTCCAGAAATTGATCAATTAGTAAAATAATATATTTGTTTATTGTAGCTCATATTCCAATCACCTTTTGTCATATTAGTAAAAAAAACTTGCATTTTTGGATAGATTTTGCATACTTATATTAATTTATTCAACAGGTGGCACAAAATGAGGGGTCAGGTGATGGGAAATATGAGAAAGAAAAGGTTACCAATAATGACATACCTTTGCTACCTTCTTTAGGTAAAATTACCATAATGCCCTCCAATCAAAATGATGTCGGAAATGATAAAATTACCATTATGCCCGTCAATCCGTTCTTTGCATTGATTTTATTTGTCTTCTTGTTAGCAGAAATCAAACCTGGTTCAGAATTAAGTGCTTCAGAAATCCAGAAAAACCTTCAAAACTTATACGAATACAATGTGATGCTTCGAGAGGAGTTGATTGTTGCTCAATCAATGCTCCATACTTTAACATCAAAAGCTTCTGCATCATAGCATCAATAACATACAGATGAGCATACGTATGAGAAGTGAAAAGCCCATTTTACCCTTGGATCCTGTAGGGGTTGTGCAAGGAGCATAGCACCTCGGTCACAAGGAAAGAAGAAATTTCACATGAAATTGTTTTGTTATTTGATATGGGCATAAAAGAATAGTGTATGATGGTGTTTTAGTTGTATATGGCTTGTGTTTTTATACTTTTATTGTTTGACTTTGAAATGTAAGTTTGGTTTATTGTTGTTGTAGATAAGGCTGTGGAAATAGTCTCATCCCAAGTAAGTTGCATTAGTTGTAGGATATGAACAATTCTTTCTCATAGTTTGAACAAAGATTAAGGGATAAATGCTACAACATATTTTCATTTATTTATTTATTATAGCATCATGTTTTTATTTCTTACAACATTATACTTTGAAATTTTTACATGGTTATAGCATAGCATTTTCAACTGTTTTTTATGGGAGGTGATATTTTCAGTAATGTCTTTTATTGGCACATCACACTTCAAAAAATCTATTTAACTATAGCAGTGAAATAGAAAGTTCACTTTGTCGTGGCTTGAAGTAAAGAATCAAAGTAACGCATGTCCATGGATCATTTTGTAACAACTTTTTAATATTTTGGGCATGAAGTATACAGTTCACAATTTTATTAGACGAAAAATGTAGCATGTATATGTCATGTTTGGGATCATTCTATAAGAATTAGTTATCTTTTAGGCATAAAGCACAAAGTTTATAACTTTATCAGACAAGAAATGAATGTACGTCATTCTAGGGGCCATTCTATAATAGCTTTTTTATTTTTTGTCATCAAGCATGTATTCACCAAAAAAACGAACCATGTGTTCATTAAGGGACACTGTACATACTTCAGTCAAAAGAATCATACTTTTTTTTTTCATATTTCTTACAACAAAAGAAATGCTAAAAATGTATGAACCATTATAGGGGATGGTTTCATAGTTTCATAGTCCATGTGTTTGCTCAAACTTGTTTTTCATGTTCTTGTTTTCAAATTTGATGCCCAAAAGAGATAAATCCTGCTTCAACAAATCTGCATTCTTGAACTGTAATCCAATGATGCCAGCTTCTTTTGCAGCCTCTACATTCTTCATCCTGTTGCATATTTGTAAAAAGTTGGGACTATTATTTTTCAACAACATTAAATGATATTTCAATTTGATAAACATATACGTATAACTTTAATATAACATAGATCTAATTGAACTCAGACCCTTTATAACTAGAATACCTGTCATCAATAAAGACACAATTATGTGGCTCGGTGTCAAGGTACTTTATAACTTCTGAATAGAAAAGGGGATCAGGCTTTCTTTTTCCTGCAATTAGGGAAGTATATATAAAATAATGCATTATCTCAAAAGGATTATATTCTCAAAAGGGCAATAATGTTTATATGTACCCATTATACATGAACAAAATGTCCAAGATAAGTAAGAGGAAATCTTCAATTTGTCCTCTATCATTTTGTACCTATAAAACAATAAAGAAAAGTGAGAGATGGAAAAGGGGACAATATCACTAAATAGTAATCAAGTTTCACATTTTGTCCATGGCTTCTTTTCAAAATGCTTAATCACTCGACTTTTTTTTTTTTTGTTCCATTGCTGTATGTTTTGTTGACCATGTTTTAGCTTTACTCCAATGTTGAAACTTGAAACATACAATGTCACTATAGATGTGAAATTTAGGATCATTGACCAAATTGTCTTTTTTTTTATATAAGAATAAATATGGATTTATTCATTTGACAAATAAGTATGTGACAAACCTTGCAGTTCAGTCATACCATATTGGGTAATTTGTAAAAGCATGCATCTCATAGCCATTATCTTTCAGTGTACTAAGAAGTTCTTCAACACCTTCAATATAGGAGTAACCTTGACTTACACAACTTTTGAGACCTAAAAAGGAAATCAAATTAAGTCATGCTGATTGAAAGACGATTTCTGTTGGTTACTAAATCTTTTGTAACCTACCTTCCAAGTCAAATTGTCTTCCATCTTTGAAAAATATTCTTTCTAGTTCCATCTGAAGAAGATATTCTTTAATAATGTAAGCCAAAGAAGCGAAATTTCAAGTGAACCACAAGATTTCTATACGATATGAATAAATCATAAACACCACTTTGAAATAGGAAAGATCTATCAAATGTTATGTACATGGGACATTCTGCAAAAACTAGTAATATGAATGATGAATGTCCAACAATACCTCATCAATAAGACCTTTTTCAAACTCGATCCACGCTGTAGGATGTTTGCAGTCTAATAGTTCCTTCATGGACATTCTGTAGAACACAAAATATCTCAGAAGAAATGCATAATAAGTAATCCCTAACTAACAAAATCAACCATATGAATTAGTTTTCATAGTCAATTGATATAATCTTACAAACCACATCAAAATTCATAATAAGTAATCCCTAACAGACTGTAACGAGAACCCATAAGGAATTTGGGGATTTAAACACACTATATTTGACCTAAGAGGTGAGAATTTCCTCAGATTGGCATTCAAGCTATCATCTAGGTAATTGCATGTGATACTTAGTCCAAACTATAACAAAGGGGATACTCCGTTGGATCAGGTCCAGCAATAGAGACAGTAAGATTACGTTGACTAAATCGATCTTCATGAGAAATATCATGGTAATTCTGAAAGTGAAACAAAAAAAGTACCCGAAGAATGCAGGGATGTCGTGGTAAAAAGGATCGCGAACAATCGTGTCCATTATGTCGAACAGCAAAACGGGAAGCTTTCTTGTAGTGATGGCGGAAGCAGAGGCGGCAGCGGCAGTGACACGGAAAGCCATTTTTGTTGCAAATGATTTAGGGGAGGATCTGTAGATGAGAGGGAAGCTCAGGGTGATTGTTTGAGTGGGTCTGAATGACAGTGGTGGTATCAAAGCTGCCATTGAAAATATCGCAACTTCTGAACATAGCAAAATCGTGTGGTATTACTGTTACATTTATAAAAGTAAAATGGAGAAAATATTATAAATTAATTTACAGAAAGGCCCTCTTCGCACCATCACATTTGACAAATGCTGTGGATTGGACTGATTTATATTTTATGAATAAATGTAAATTTTTTTATTTTAAAAAAATGAAATCTCTAGAAAAAAATCTTATTATATTAGGAAAGGTAACGATTAAGTCTCAAAAAAGAAATTGAATATAAAAGCTCAAGAAATCGATAAATTTCTCCATTTTAGTCAATTTTGATCTGTTCAGTAGGTCATTAGACCAAACCGTTAATTTTTCTAAAATAATAGGAATTTTCTACAGATTTTTCCAAAATTATAATGTATAAACGTATTTTTATGTATTTTTTTAAATATTTTTACATATTCTTATATATTTTTATGTATTTATGTATTTTTTTCAAGTTTTTTTATATAGTTTTTTATGTTGTTTATGTATTTAAATGTATAAACATATTTTTTTTACGTATTTATATGATTTTTTAAGTATTTTTATGTACTTTGGTATATTTTTATGTATTTATTTATTTTTTAAATATTTTTATGTATTTTTTTACGTATTTATATGTATTTTGTTAAAAAAATTTACGTATTGATGTATTTTTATAATTCAAGTTTCATTGTAAGCTAACTATAAGAGCTTGTAAACAAAGAAAGAAAATACTAGAGTATTTCAAAAGCGATCATTATTAATCAACGTCATTTTGCAGGTAAAGCCTTCCATTATTCTTGAATTGAGTTTGTAAATGAATTCAAGAAAAATGAAAGAATTTACCAGTAAAAATGGCATTGATTGTTAAGGACTGTCTTTGAAAAATATTTGTTTTTAAGTACTTTAGTGCTTTTTATCTTCATTTACAAGGTATAATATTTAGCTTATAATAAAATTTGAAGTAAAAAATATATAAATATGTAAAAAAATATACATCAAAATACTTATAAATACGAAGAAAAAAAATATATGTTTATACATTTAAAATACATAAAAATATGTAAAAAAAACTATATAAAAACTTAAAATATATATAAATACATGAAAAATATACCAAATTCGTAAAAATACATAAAAATACTTACAAATTCATATAAAGACGTAATATATGCGTTTATGCACTTAAAATACATAAAAACTTTAAAAAAAATACATAAATACGTAAAAATATATATATAAAAAAACATTTATACATTACATAAATTTTTTTGAGGAAATCTGCAGAAAAGTCTAATTATTTTGGGAAAAATAACGATTTGGTCTCATGACCTGTTGAACGTATCAAAAAAAGTTAAAGTGAAGAAAATTGTCAGTTCCTTAAGCTTTTCTATTCAACATTTTCGGGACTTAATCTTTAATTTTCTCAAAATAACGAGACTTTCCTAGAGATTTCTTTTAAAAAAAAAAACCTAAATACTTTTTATTTTACGTAATTATTTTACGTAATTTTACGAAAGGCTAATGTTATTTTAAACCCCTACAAATTAGTTGGGAAGAAGTTTTATGATTTTATTGTATATAACACATAAGATGGTGAGGATAAAAAAAAAAATAAGAAACATGTATTGTATTTTGTCACTTGATGTAAGGGTAAATAACAAAATGAATTGTATTTTTTTATCTTTCAATTTGATAGTGTATATTTTTTTTGTTGTTCTAAATCGAACATTGCATTTTATAATTTTGTTCAATATTGACAATTTCGACTCAGGTTACTCGGTTGCCATGTTGAGTTGGAAAATAGTGTCGATATGGTATGTTGGCGTGACATGAAAGTCAGTACATTATTATTTTTTTTCGATTTTGACACCGTTATTTTATTTTCAAAAGTCACTAAATTATCATTTTTCGATTTCAAACATCTCCATCAAAAATATCATTTTCTAATATTCAGTTTGTTAATTCAGGATGTTTCAGGTCGAACATCTTCATCCCAAATATCCTTTTCTCCATCCACTTTGTGAAACTCATTAACAACTTTTTGTTTGATTTGAGGTGTTGGATTTGGAAAACGGATTCATACTAAAGTTAAACCGTGTCTGCCTTATTGCAAGTCAATTATGTGGGAGTGATCCAATGCAAGGACAAGGTAATGATCCTTTACATTTATTGATGACCTCTAACCTGAACTTATATATGAATATGCATATCCTAGAGCGTATGATCAAGAGGATCTTGCCAATTGTAGTGAAATGTTACATATCATTCCTTTAATGACATATATGAAGGTCCAAATTTTTTAGCTGCAAAAGGTTGATCGTCTTGAACAATGAAAAACCTCTTGCAATCCAATTTGAATTATCCTTTATAGATGAAGTGGCCAACAATATATAATGCACACAACACAAGTGCATTGTTTTGACTATTGAATATTGATGGGTCAAAATATCGATCAACATAATGTTTTACATAAACTAATAATAATACAAAAAGAATAAAACAAAGTGAACTACACGAGGTTATAGAGGAGGGTAGAAGTAAGATGAGAGAGAAAAACCAAGAAATAGCAAACCCCCAACTGTGGCAACCGTGCCTTGTGAAATTTTTGATGCCAACATGCTTCCCCCAATTACTGCTATTGATGTACAGATTGTGTGACCTATTGTTGCCCCTAATGCAACACCAACTGCATTTTTATGCGTCGCTAACTGCAAATTCCAACCACAAAACTCATTTTCTCAGATACTTTTTAAGCACCATTTATCCAAACAACACTTAATAGGGAAAAGAAAAATCTTACAGCAATAGTTGCTATCTGGCTTCGGTCCCCCCACTCTGCTAAAAATGTCAGTATAAATGACTGCAACCACAGAAGAGAGTGAAAATATTATCATCAGTAAAAAAGAAGATAGGTAAAAGGTTAGTGTCTTAATACACTAAGTCATTTTATCCAGATTAAGTCAAAAAGAAACTGTCATGTATGCGTTCATATATTAAGTGATTACTCTATTAAGTCCATTAAGTTAAAAAGAAACAGCTCCTCATAGACTAATAAGTAATCATATTAAATGAAAAGATGAAATAAAAAACAATATTCAGGCTGAACATACCTCTAAAAAAATAGGAGTACAGAATCTAGAAAAGAATCTGCGGGCAGCTGTTTTGCCTTGTCCAGACTCTAATTTCTCTTCTACCTGCATATATTTTGTAATAGAATCAGATTTCTGGAATGTTTTTTGAGTACTTAATAATGAGGTAAAGCCTAAATTTATATAGAAACTATAACCCTTAATGGGGAAAAAGAAAACATACTTCCTCCATCTCCTTTTTTTGAGATGCTTTTGAATCTGATCTCCAAGCAATATAGAGCAACCGGAGCCCAAAGAAGGCATAAAGAACTGCATTGTAGAAAAAACAATTTAGATGTCTCACAATCTTTATATTTTATATGAAATTTTAACTTTATATATAAAAAATGTCAATACTCAATACATGCCTGTAGCAGCACTGTTTGTGTGTTTCCTTGATATCAGATTTGGAACAATCCTACCAAGCCCTGTAGAAAGTATCTACATACCAAGTAAAACCAAATTAATATGATTTTTCATTGTTGCAATTAGTGTTGTGGATAAAATATGTTATCTTTTGAAAAGGGTATCAAGAAAAGTAGCAAACTTACAGTCATTACAAACAGAGCACTGAGTGCACCTGATAGAACAATTGACTTTGGATGACGCATTGCCATAAGAGCTGCTATAATAAAAGTTTCATCTCCAATCTACATGGAAGCAATAAATGGAATATTGGGTTATGTAATTTTGAGAAATAAACATTTGTGGAAACTTATGTTTGCCTATAAAAAAGGATAGGGAAAGAACATACCTCACTGACAAGAATCATTGACAAACTGGCAAAAAATGCATCCAAAACACCAAGACCAGGATCCAAATTTAGTACAGCTTGTGGATCAATCTTGTCACCTATGACATTGTTTTTAATTCTTTCCACAACAACCTGTTTAAAGTAAATACGCGCATTAAGATGTATGATGAATAACAATTAGAATATTATTGAAATCTCAACATAGACTGGCATATAGTTAAATATCTAAAACTTTCTATAACATAAAGAAACAAAAATCTGAAATCCAACTATAAAGTATAAACACAGGAAAGAGGAAACTTATAAATTAGTATTGAAAGAGTTCATATGTGTCTGATTGCTCATCCTCAACAGAAGGGTTTCCAGTGTATAAGGGTTTTAACAGTTTCAAGTCAGTTCACAAATAACAATATTATAGCTATATGACCTTGAATTTACTGTTATACCTCTAGATCCCAAATTCCCTTTATGTTGAAGTGACTTAATTTTTTCAACTTTAATCATGTCTTTTGATAGACGCATGTGATATCAGTAGAATGTAATTACAACCATATAAAAAAAATATAGGGTTTTGTATACTCACTTTGCTACGCCGACCTAGATCTATAATGGATCCGGTTGAGTCTTCCTTCTCATTATCACCGGCAACATCCTGAAATCAACAAAAATAAACAGAATTCAAATCAATTATCCGCAATGGATAGCTTTGGCTCATATCCTATTCAATTGCGAATCAAGAAAACACATAAAGAATATACCTGAGCGAAAACGCGAGATGCGACGAGGAAAACGAAGAGGAATAGAATGACAAAACCATGATTTGCACGCGGATTCATGATTTGTCTACTACAGGATGACCGGAGGGGGATCTACGAAGAATTAGAGATGAGATCGGAGTAGAAAGAAATGCAACTAGTGCTGCATTTCTGTGAATGAGGAGATATTGTTAAGTTGTTGGCGAGGTATATAAGCTGGGTCGGTGTGCGCGTATGGTTGATTACCACATAACGGAAATGCGAAGGAAAGTTGACCCCTTTGATGAATTTTGATTTCACTCTCCGTATCGTCGATAAAGAATTAAAGATTGTTGAAAAGACTTGGTTTGTTTTGTACTTCTACCAAAATTTTAGACTTGGTTGCCCCTATCAACTTCTTATGTTACTCGTACTTATGTTATTCTTTAGGGGTTGTTTGGTATGTTTTTCAAATTTTATTATTAACTTATTAACTTTTTTAAAAGTAAATAAGTTAAAAAAGAGTTTGGTAAATACTAATTTTTTAACCAAAAAACCAAAAATTATTGGCTTTTTCAAAAAGTCAAATATGATTTTCAAAAGCACTCTCAAACACCTCCTTAATAGTTGGTAGTTGGATGATGTTACTCTCTATATTTGAAAGCTTTTTATTTATACAGAAGTGATCATCCGAAATTTTCAAATATGAAGAAATAACCCAACTGTTTTGGGTTTTACCAAGATGATTATTATGTCAGAAAATATGAAGCATTTCAGGCTTATTTTCTACAAACTATATGTCAAACTAAAAGTGTACAATTATGACATGAAAATGACATTTTAGATTAAAGTTTCAGATTTCGGATTCTGGACAGGTGAAAAACTATTCCAAATTTTCAAGAAAATGTCTAAATTTTGATTAACAAATCCGAAATTTCGAGAAAATATTTCGTTTGTATTTAAATCTAACAAAATTTAAGGAAACATAACGAATCGGAAATAGATACAATACAAGGCATAAAATGTGACTTTTTGTTGAAAAGAACATGATTTTAAACATTTCAAAATGGATAAATAATGTTTTTAAAAAGTATTGATGCGTACGAGGAAAAAAATCAAATTATATCATTGAAGTCCGAGATTGCCATTTTGGAAATGGTGGGCATTTTTTGAAAATGCTAAAAGTTGAGACATTTAGGTAGTCAAAATCCACATGAACACTTGATTGCTAAGATTTCAAATTGCGATAATTAGATTATCAATCTAAGCACAAACTCATGATATGATATGCAACCCTTATCCTTGTCTAACATCATGCTAACAAAACACTAGTAAATTTAACGGTTTATCAAAATCAGAACTTTACAACAAAACTCAAAAGATGATTTTATCTCAAATTTAAAAAAATATTCTAAACTAGCTTGATCTTTCTTAACCAAGTTTGCTTAATACTTCTAATCAACCCAAATCCACATTTGCAGTAATGATTATTTTTCCTCAAGTTTTACCTTCAATTTCACATCTATCCTTTTGCTCCTCTTTCCCTTTTAGCACTAGTAGAAAAACCCTCCTACAATTGAGCCTCTTACTTTTCGAAAATAGTTCAAAGTCCTTTACTCAAAACTTGTTTCGTTGATCTCCCAAACTTACATAAATGAGTCGATTTTGATTATAGTTTATTTCTAACAAGTCAAATAGGTAAAAGATTAATGAAGAAGATTGTTTAAGATGTATTTTCAAATCAACATCTAAAAACTTATGTTATAAGTGTATCATCATATAAATGCCATAGTTAACAAAGGTAGATGTATTTGACTATTTTCAAATCACCACATTTTATTCATAAAACTCCAATGTAGGTCATAAACTAACGGTCACCCAAAGTACATAACATAACATAATATAACAGCCTCACTTCTTGACCAACCGCTCCTTCATTCTCTCAACCGCACTCCTAAGAGTCCCCTCATCCTTACAAAACGTAAACCTCACAAGATTCTTCCCTTCCTCTTTATCCAAATAAAAAACACTCGTAGGAATCGCCACAACACCAACTTCCTTAATCAAATACTCACAAAACGCCACGTCATCCGGAAGCCCGAAAGGAGTATGATCCACCACCACAAAATAAGTCCCACTTGACGGAAACACCCTAAACCCAACCGCCCTCAACCCATCCACCAAAATCTCCTTTTTACCCTTATAATCCTTTCGCAACTCCTCATAGTACGAATCCGGGGCATTTAATGCTACCGCTGCGGCATACTGCATCGGGGTGGACGTCGCAAACGTAAGATATGAATGCGCTTGTTTGACTCCCCATAGTAAGTGCGGTGGGGCGATCGCCCACCCGATTTTCCACCCCGTCAACGAAAAAGTCTTCCCCAAGGAATTCATAGTCACCGTCCTTTCATACATCCCGGGTAAGCTCGCGATCGAAATATGGTCCATTTCAAACGCGAGCTTATCATAAACCTCATCACTAAAAACCAAAACATCGTTTTCAATGCATAACAACGAGATTTGTTCGAGTTCTTCTTTTGTAAACATTTTTCCGGTTGGGTTATGCGGGGTGTTGAGAAGAATCGCGCGTGTGTTTTTCGAGATTTTGGATTTGAGTTTCTCGAGAGGGAGGGCGAAGTCGGGAGGTTGGAGCGTGATGCAGGTGATTTTAGCTCCGGCCATTGAGAGTGTAGCTTCGTATGAGTCGTAGAAAGGGGCGAAGAGTATGACTTCGTCTCCGGGGTTTATTAGGCCGAGGATGGTTGCGGCGATTGCTTCGGTGCACCCCGAAGTGACGGTGATTTCGGTTTCCGGGTCGATTGTGATTCCGGTGTCTTTTTGGAATCGGGAAGCGATGGCGGAATTGAGATCGGGGATTCCGTAGCCGCGTGCGTATTGGTTTTTACCGTCTTTGATGGCTTGGATTGCCGCGTCTTTCACGAAATCTGGACCGTCGAAATTCGGGAAGCCTTGGCCGAGGTTGATCGCATTGTGTTTGATGGCGAGTGAGCTCATTTGTGTGAAGATTGTGGTTTTGAACTTTTCCAACCGCTTTGCCACCTGTAAAAAAAACAACAAATGATTACTTCTTCTTGTGGAAGGTCTTATGTGGTATAGTTGTTGTAGGTGGTGTTTGTTGACCATTTTCAGTTCCATTCCAATCCCTCTAGAACAAATTTCCACCATTCCCATTCCTTCGAACCAAACGCTATCTAGGTTAGAATGTGTGGTTAATTGGAATCACTGGCATAGCATGGGATTAGCTTTGGATTTGCGTGTGGGAGAGAGAAAAGAAAATATGGTGAGATGAAGGGTGGTTTCTACACCTAGTGAGGAAGAAGCCTAGGTTAAAACTTAAAAGAGAAAACAGTATACATATTTACTTTCATGACAATAATCCTAGAACACCATACCTAATATTATGTCCTAAAGCTATATTTGTAAGCTTCTGTTTTCAATTTTCAGGGTGTCAACAATAGTTACCTCCTTACAAAAGTATTAAAACACAAAATCTAGGATAGCATATAACAGAGGAAACTGCATGAAATACCAGTTATCTATGAACATAATTAAATTATCATTAGCGAAAAAAGAATATTTGATGGTCATTGCACAAAATTTGAGCAGCTAAGTATCTAAATGATTCTTCAAGAAATGTATTGAGGATCCAAAATACATGTCTTAAAGCATCATCTAGATAACTAGCTAACTCTGATTATTAAAAAATATATAAGTAGAAACATCTATTTACCACCAAGAATGCTCCTAAATTCATTAATCCCCCAAATCAACTTTCATGAGTGATTTCACACCTCAATTTCATTTCCAAGATTATTAGCTTTTCCAATATGGGAACAACACAATCGCAAAACCTTATTATTTGATATTTTAAACAGAATTGTTCGTTTCCAAGTTCATCTTTTCTGCAAAACCTTAAACCAAGCACATGCAGAACAAGCGATGAGCAAATACAAATTGACATCAAAAACATCGAAAAGCTAGATCGAAGACGCAGATTCAGTGGGTATTTTGAACGAACCTGCAAGGGATGCTGATTGATCGGTCCATCTTGCGCCATAACAGTGGCCTCGCTTGCAGTGGAAAAGGTTGAAACGGAAGATGCCCTAACAATTGGGAAAGAGAGGCTGCTGCTACTCTTATTCTTCGCAGCAATGTTGGTCCACAGAAAGGGTTTAAAAAGGGTTATTCGAAGTGAAGGTCTGAAGCACGCTGGAAGAAGAAGCATTTCAGTGGAAAGATCCAGCCGTCCAGGTGCGTTGAATGTGCGCATCTGTGAAGCGAAGAGAAAGGGAAATGACATGATTCATTTCTAGCCTGTTTGGTAGCGTTAACGATCCACGGGTCGGGTTTGGTTCGGCAAAACTAACCGGTGGTAGCGTTTGATTTAGCTTTTGATTTTTGAGCCTTTTGTTTAGACGGCTAGGATTGGGCATTAGCTAAAAACGCCTAAAAACGCAGTGGAACACCGCCCCCGGTTGGTGTTATTAAATGTTGTGTTATTATGATGTGGTAACGGGAACGGGAGATAACACCCAATCATATCATTTTTTTTCATTTTTTTCTCTCTATCTCTCTCCTTATAACACCATGTTATAACATATAATAACATGGGGAACACCACCCCCACGTCATGTTATAACATGTAATAACATGAAATACCGTTGCCCACACCTAATAGCCTTAGATTAAAAGCTAAACGTTTCTGTCGCCGAACGAGGTTTTTTCTTTTTTACTAGTGTTTTCTTAAAAGCTAGAAGCTCTCAAACGTTGTGTGACGAACACGCTCTAATAGAGTGAGTTATATTAGATCGTTTATGTGATTATAAAAAAATGATGGATTTAATTTTCATTTTTAGTTCTTATTTTTATAGTTCTTGGATGATAATATTGGAAAGGGTCATCATTAATGTCTTGTTTTTGAGTTTTTTTAAGCAAATAAATGAAAGAAAATTAGAAGAAAGTTGTGTTCCTAAGATTTTTTTAGGATGAGAAGGAAAGAAAGAGAATGAAGTGTGTTCTCTTGTTTTATTTACACATTTCTCTAGAATTTTATTTAATGAGAGAAATGAAAGAAAACGGGAAAATCATTACTCCGGAGTTTATTTATTGAAAAGAAGAGGAAACAAAATAGTCAAATTTTTTTCAGACACTGTAACGTCCTAAAAATTAAAATTAAAAATTTCGATTTTTAAATTAATAAAATCATTATCCAAAACAACATCATAGAAATCATGGTGAATCAAAGTGTATCAATAACATCCAAGTACATCAATGTAATATAAAATACAGAACAATGTGGTGTGTGCACTACAATTATCTCGGGCTCTTCCCCTTCGAACCAGAAGTACCTGAAACATAAACTGAAAACCGTAAACACAAAGCTTAGTAAGTTCCCCAAAATATCACATACCATACATATCAAACATATAATGGGCCCTGCCCGTTATCGGGTCCCGCCTTGCATCAAGCCTCGCTCGGAACAGATCCGTCAGTTATCAGGCATCGCCTGGCATCGGGCTCTGCCAGGTATACATACAAATATATAAACACATAAAAAAATCACAAAGATAAATAGCATACAATATAATCATCAGGCCTCGCCCGGTATACAGATAAACACATAACACATGCAAGAGTCACACATACAACTAGCATCCTAAACATAATAAACCATGGGCCGACGTTGGTGCCTTCGACCCGCTAAACCCAGTGAGGAAACACACCTCAAGCTGCTGAATCTCTCAGAAAAGTCTCGGTCTGCTAATCTGGAAAATCCTCGCGCTAACATCATCAAATAATATCCCATTAATATTCAGATATCAACCCATAATCCATAATCTAAGTTACTTGTCCCATATCCAGGGTAAAAGACTATTTTACCCTTTTCTTACTTGGACCAAAACCAAGGCCCAACCTATTTGTTCAAAAGGCCCAAATTCCTAAATGGCATCACAGGCTCAATATGGCCCAACTTTCTAATTGGGCCCCAAAACCATCATTGACCTAATTCCAAGAAAGCCCATAGTCTATCCATGGCCCAAAATCAGAAGTCCAATGGCCCAACAAGGCACAAACCCTAAAAACCCAAAATATGGCCCAAACCCGAGGAAGTCAACCTAAAAGTCAAACAGCTGAGTACGTTGGGCGTATTCAGACTTACGCTTGGTGTGCTCCTTCCGGGGCCAGTACGCTCAGCGTACGAGCTGAGTACGCCCCGCGTACTCCGCAGACAGCCAACCCAACTCATTAAGCACTTATTCGGTTAAGTCAACATACCAAACTCTCACATCTAATTCTAGAAGGTGAATTAACACGTAAAGTTGGCAACTTTACACCCATTCATGACTTAATATGACCCAAAACTCAAAAGGAACCATAAAAAAGAACTTAACTCATGCATGGACCAAAATAACTCATCAAGGTTGCATTTTTATGGGCAATGGATCTAAAATGTGTTAAGATCCAACCTCTATGGATTCTGAAGTAGACCATAATCTCAAATATGACCTAAAAGACCCAAAAATGAAATAATAGCACCCTAAGTTAGATCTAGCACAAAGATCCATTAAGATGAGATCTTTTTACCTCAAATGGCATGCTAAGATGAAGATGCCCCTGGATCTACAAGCTTAAGCCACTCCCAAGCAACCTCTAAGTGTTCTATTCTTCTACTTCACCAAAACACCACCAAAACTCACTTTCAAGCTCAAAACTCACAAATGACACTTAGGGTTTCGATATTAGGGTATAGAGTGATAGAGGTTGATCAATAGAAGGTCCAAAGGTGATATAGGTTGCTTAAATAGGGCACAACCCCTAAAAATTAGGGGTTTCCTCAGCCTTGTGTACGCCGTGCGTACTCCCACGTACGCCCAGCATACGTGGGTACATGCGTGATCCATAAAACGGGCTAGCAGCTAAGCGTACTCATAGAGTACGCCCCGTGTACTAGATAGGGACTAAAAAGATAGAAATTTTGCATTAAGGGGCTAAAAGGGAAACATACCAAATCTCAAATGTTACAATTCTCCCCCACTTGAATCAGACTTCGTCCTTGAAGACCGCTACCCCAAATAACTCTGGGTAGTGCTCCCTCATCTCGTCCTCCGTCTCCCATGTCTATTCTGAACCCTTGCGGTGCTGCCACTGAACTTTCACCAACTCCACAACCTTGTTCCTCAAGGTTTTTGTCTTTCTGTCAAGAATCGTCACTGGTATCTTGATATAATTCAGACGATCATCCACTTGAATATCTTCCAATGGAACCACCATGGAATCATCCACTAAACATTTCCGCAATTAAGATACGTGGAATGTGTTATGGATCTAACTAAGCTCCTCGGGAAGATCTAAGCGATAAGCAACCCGGCCCACCCAGGCCAAAACCCTAAAAGGACCGATGTACCTAGGGCCCAACTTGCCCCTCTTACTGAATCGGATGACACCTTTCCAAGGTGACACCTTTAGGAGAACCATATCCCCAACCTGGAACTCTAGATCTGATCGGTGCTTGTTGGCGTAGCTCTTCTACCGACTATGTGTTGCCTGGAGTCTACCCCGAACCTGTTGGATCAACTTGGTAGTCTTGAGTACCACTTGGTACTCCTCATGACTTGCTGACCGAACTCACCCCAACATATCAGGGTCCTGCATTTCCTCCTATAGAGCATCTCAAAAGGAGGTTGATCAATGTTGGCGTGATAACTGTTGTTATACTAAAACTCTGCCAAAGGGAGATACGTATCCCAACTCCCACCGAAATCCAATACACATGCCCGAAGCATATCCTCCAAGGTATGGATAGTCTGCTCGCTCTGCCATCAATCTGCGGGTGGAAGGTCGTACTGAAATGCAGACGAGTACCCAACTCATCATGGAACCTCTTCCAAACGATAACGTCCCAAAAATTCATGACATAAAATATTTTGTTTTTAGATTAATAAATTGTTAATACATATCTTTCCCATAAAACCAAGGTAAACAAGTTTTAACAAAACATCATCGAATCAGAGTAATTCACAGAATGTCGAAACATGTGGTGTGTGTTCTACAATCATCCCGAGCCCTTCCATTTGAAAACCAGAGTACCTGAAACATAAACTGAAAACCATAAGCACAAAGCTTAGTAAGTTCCCTAAAAATACCACATAACATACAACCACAGAATATCATGCAACATACATATAGTTGCCATGGGCTCCCCCATGGTCTTTACCTGGAATATCATGGGTTCCCCCCCCCCCCCATGGTCTTTGCCTGGAATGTCATAGGCTCCCCCATGATCTGATATCCAAGTGTCATGGGCTCTCCCATGGTCTTTCATGGAAGTATCACAGAGACAACTAGCATTCCACATAACACGTAATGGGCTGACATTGGTGCCTTCGACCTATGGATATAGTGAGAAGATTGACCTCGCACTGCTGAATCCCGCGGATAAATATCTGGATGTCGGTTGACCGAACCCCAAACTATCAATATCAAAACAACACCCAATTAACAATTGGGTTCCAATCCATAATCATAAATCCATACTTAGGATAAAAAGACCATTTTACCCCTAACCTAGCTTGGTCCAAAACTAAGGCCAAAACTTACAATCTGAAAGACTCAAAGGCCAAATAATCTACCAAGGCCTAAATATGGCCTAATTTTCCAAATTGTAGGCCCTTACATGGGCCTTACCCTAAAGCCCAACCATTCTTCCTAACCGAAAACACTTGTACTCAGATGGCCCATTAAGAACTCAAACACCCAAGCCCAAAGGAAAGCCCAAACTTGAGGCCCAAACTGCAAAATCTCATCTGACTGAATACGCCCCGCATACTTAGTGGGTACGCTAAGCGTACGCCCAAGAATCCTAGTACCCCCCGCATATGAGGAGGTACGCCCCGCGTACTGACCCTACCCACATCCAACCTAAAAACATCTTAATCCCTTAAGCCAAGACGTCCAAAACCTCCTAATAGCTAAATATAAGTGACTTGATCCATAAAGTTGAAGGCTTTAAACCTTTGCATAGCTTACTGAAGCCCAACACCAAATATGAACTTCAAAGGTCAAAATCATTCCAAAATGTCTTAAGAACTTCTAAATACCTTAAGACCTTATTCCAAACTTCCAGATATGATTCAGAGGGACTTTTTAAGTCATAAAGTTCCTGACTTTATTACTTAGCATGACTTAATGGGACCCAAATCAAAACCCTAAGTCCCAAACTTCACCAAAAGACTACCAAATTGTGCATGGGAGGTTTATACTCATCAAGAACCAAACTTTATGACTCCATAACCCCAACAA